CCCCAAAACCCCAAAACCCCAAAACCCCTAATATTTTATAAATAATTGCAATGCAAGAATATACACTTCTGCAGGAAGAAAAGTTTGTGAGTAAAAAGATAGAACAGAACCAATTAGAAAGTAAGAAATGATCTAGTGATAAACCTATAGGTCCTGAAGATGTGGTAGTATCTTTCTCTGCTTCAGAGGCTTCAGGGGATACTCTTAATGAGAATTTGGTAAAGATTACCCTCTTCCAGCCAACTATTGCCACTGTGATGCATCTGAATTCGAAAGCGATCAAAGTGATGGCTAAAAAAGTGGTTTCAAGGCTGCAAATTCATCATCTTAGTTCGCAACTTTTGTTAAAATTTAGAGAAAATTTATTTCATTTTTGATAAGAATAAAGTATTCAGACTAGGAAAGGTAAGATTAAAATTAAAGGTCTATAGGGAGGTAAATTCTTCAGAGTAAGCCTTCAACCTCAACTTATTAGCTCAGCTATCATTTCTCACCTATAGAACTGCGTCAGGATAATCTCAAAAATGAGTCCGCAGCCAGGTACAACGTGTAAGTCGTTCTTTAATTGCATAAGTCTGTTTCTTCAGATGATTCATAAAAGTCAAGGAGTTTCTTAAGCTGATGCATGCTGGAGCTCATCATGAAAAGATTGATTTCTTCTCATGAGCTGTGGAAGGAATCAATGAAATAAGACAGATCAAATTTGATAAAAAATACAACTTCAAATGTACAGAAATGTAAGCTTTACCTCAGGTGTAGAACTCTTGATATCATGAATTTAACATCAGAAGATTTGAAATAAGATTCTGAAGGCTATCCAAGCCAATAGTTCCCTGAGTATAAGCCTCAAGAAAATCTATATCAATGAAAGCTTTGTTTCCACCTTCTTTGCCAATAGGAGTGCTGAGAGATATGGCCTTAGCCATATCAAGATTGAGGACATTTCTAAGAGATCTCTGACTCCGTAAAATTTTCAATCTCTTGGGAAAAATTTGGGGTTTTGGGGTTTTGGGGTTTTGGGGTTTTGGGGTTTTGGGGTTTTGGG